TATATATCTGTTGCAGGTGGTGCTGCGGGATGTTGAGATGAGGTATCGGCCCGAGCTGCCGCTTTCGTTGAGAGGCCTGAGTGTAACCATACAGGTATTTTCTGAATTCATATGGTAGTTATGTTTCATTTCTATGGTATTCATATAACAATCATAAGTGATCTATTTGGCATTTGTATGGTCGTTATAGTTCTTTTGCATGGTACTTATGTGGTAAATATTCGATTGACCAAACGCTTTGATTTCTGAGTAGGCTTCAGTTTACGCGCATCTTGTTTTAGGGTTTAGAGGTTAGGGTTTTGTCTTCGTGGAGGCAAATGTATGCAGCGATGGCAATGTAAAGAACTTTTTCGGTATATTCATACGTATACCGTTTCGGTTGAAGTAGACAGATTACACATATACAGGTACAAGCAATGTTGTATACTGAAAACATCACACCCAAACTCATACGCTAAAGTATCCAGAATACACATATACTCGTACAAGCAACGTTACATCCTGAAAACATCACCCTCAAACACATACGCATACTACACAAACCCCTGTCAGCCGCGAGAGCACATTGGCGTAGTAGGTAGAACCGGTGCGGGCAAAAGTACCATAGCAACGGTCCTATTCCGTCTGGTCGAGGTTAGCAACGGTGTCATAGAGATCGATGGCATTGACGTTTCAACGTTGGGATTGGATGATCTGAGAGGGAGGGGAGTGTGTATAATACCTCAGGGTATGTCTGATAGATTGCTACAGTGCTTGTATGTAGCTTTACCTACTTTAGAATTTGAGATGTATATGTAGGATATAATACAATATATGTATGTGTATGTATTTGTATATGTATATATGTGTGTGTGTGTGTGTGTGTGTGTGTGTGTGTGGGTCTGTGTCTGTGTCTGTGTTTGTGTGGAGAGTGACAATTTCTGAGGCTAATGGGAGAGTACACTATAGGTCAGTGGATGTCCCCTCTGTCGCTGTGTTTGAGTTGGAACTCTTCGCAGGGCATACAACTGTTGGCATGGTCGACTAATTCGGTGAAACTTGGGTTTCAGAGTTTTAGCGCAAACAGTTAAGCTGAATCGGCTGTATGTTACCACTGCTATGTGTGGACAAGTTCATCTATTTATTTTTTTAACTATTCATTTATTCAGTTATTCATTTATTCATGTATTCAGTTCTTCAGTTATTCATTTATTCATGTATTCAGTTCTTCAGTTATTCAGTTATTCATTTATTCATTTATTCATTTATTCATTTATTCATTTATATATTTACATGTTTATTTATTTGCTTTGTGGCCGAACAATAGGGTGAAATGCGCACGCCTTTCGCATATACGCACTACCTGCAGACCGACACACCAACTCAACTGCCCTTACAAATATATCACTGCAACTAGTCATAGCACAAATATAAACGTGAACACTTGATATGAAGGTCTAGCAAAGGGTTTACGAAACCCTAAACCCTAAACACTACAGTATGGGACCGCAGTACAATGACCTAGTTTCGACGGCCACATACCCTCCCCATTGCTTCACAAACACATGCCTGTATCTAGTCCACACTCATTTCCCCCCAACTACATACCTGTAGCCAATTAACACTGTTTCTCCTACCCACATACACATCGCTGTAGCTGGTCATAGCCTTCTTTCTTCACAGATACTTGACAGCCTCTGGCTGGTAGTTAACGTCATTCCTCTTACCTACATACATATCCGGCAGATCCGGTGCTGTTCAGTGGCACGCTTAGAGATAACCTGGACCCCTTCGAAGAGTACACAGACACACAGATGCAACAGGCACTGCACCATGCCAGCGTGGATCAGATGGTCGATCAATTAGGTGGGACGCATGTGTTGCTGTGTTGTTTATATATATATATATATATATATATGTATGTATATATATATCCGAGCCTCTCATATGCGTGTGTGTGTGTGGTCAGGGAATTGCTATGGTGTTAGCACAGTCCTTGATTATCCGTCTTATCTACAGACACTCATAAACCCTTCTTAATACACCCTTTATGAGGCATTGATTACCCTTCTTATCTGCATACACTCATAAACACTTATTACTACACCCCTTAGGAGGCCTTGATTACCCTTCTTATCTACACACACTCATAAACACTTCGTACTACACCCTTTATGAGGCATTGATTACCCCTCTTATCTACACACACTCATAAACACTTCTTACTACACCCTTTATGAGGCATTGATTACCCTTCTTATCTACATACACTCATAAACACTTATTATTACACCCTTTATAAGGCATTTATTACCCCTCTTATCTACACACACTCATAAACACTTCTTACTACACCCTTTATGAGGCATTGATTACCCTTCTTATCTACATACACTCATAAACACTTCTTACTGCACCCCTTAGGAGGCCTTGATTATCGCTTGGAAGACCGTGGGTCGAACTTCTCAACTGGGCAGCGCCAGTTGATTTGCCTCGCGCGTGCACTGCTTCGCAAGCCAAAGATTCTCGTCATGGATGAGGCCACGGCATCAGGTATATATGGATTCTAGATATTGTGTACACAAGTGTTATATATATATAAGAAGTTTTATTTCATGTATACGAGTTTTTATTTGTTTGTATACGATATTTTTTTTTGTTTCAATACGATTTTTGATTTGTTTGGATATGATGTTGATGTTTTTGTTTGTATTTAATGTACAATCTGTTTGTATATCTTCTATTTGTTTGTGTATGATCTTATTTGTTTGTATATGATGTATTTTTTTGTATATCACGTTTTATTCGTTTGTATAGGTTTTTTTTTGTTGTTGATTTCTAATTCTTTGTTTAGGTGTGCATCTGTTACTTGTTTGTGTCGGTATACATGGTATATGTACACATGTTTTATTGCCAACAAGCGTGCACTGGTCACTTAATAACATGTATGTGAAGAGTGGTGTGTGCGGTATATATTGGCAGTACGTTTGCCTGCACACGCACTTACCACTTTTGTAGTAGCATCCTTACATCCCTATCTGTAACGCTCGTAGCCATCGACTGGGACTTCAAATAGGCTCCTGGGTACTCTCTTAACCACAACGGGAAAAGCTTTCCATCGCTTCGACATACCACGAGTGTATATGGGACTAGCATGGTAACCAGCTTACCCACGCTACACGCTACCTACCTTGTATCTACCTACCGTGTATCTTCTTATTTAACTACCTATCCTGTAGCTCGGGTGTTGATATACTACGCTAACATCTCACTCACTTCACTTCGTTGCAGTGGATCTGGCGACGGATGCGTTTGTGCAGACGGCCATCCGCAAGTTCTTTGTGCACACGACAGTCATCGAGATAGCGCACAGACTGCATTCTATTATGGACGTAGACCGAGTGTTGGTAATGCAAGGTGTGTAGGCGACATTTGCAAGATATAACATATCCTTTAATATCTATCTGCAGGGTAGAATGTGAATTGGTGATTACATGCACGTGAAAACATGTCGTATAATATTGTTTTGTATTTGTTTCAAAGCATGTATATCAGACAAGATTCGAGATGAATCAGCACAGGGTTAGAGCTGTCTGGATAGCAATATCTGCGTGAATATACGGTTTGCTTTTTGAGACGCGATACTATAGCCATAAACCTAGTTACCAGGAAACAACAGGATATAAATTCTCAAATATAGTCGCGGGTGAATATATATATATTGTGTGTTGGTGTGTGTGAGTGTGTGTGTCCGTATCTATGTGTATGTGTATATTATATATATATATATATATATATATATGTATGTGTGTGTGTGTGTGTGTGTGTGTGTGTGTGTGTGTGTGTGTGTGTGTGTGTGTGTGTGTGTGTGTGTGTGTGTGTGTGTGT